ATTTATGTGACTGGCAGGCATGCATGTCCACTGCTTGCACAAATGGAGCTGTGTGAATGCGCATGCTCACCTACCACTCGTGCAGAATCATCCCCTCTCCTCCCCCCCCAAAGCCGGAAAGATTGGGGACCGCTGATCTACATGAATCTGCAGGATACGTTTAAAATTTACTCTCTTTTAGGTTTTATAAACTCTGATTGGGAATATTTGTCCAGCAACATAAACAAAAAAATTATAGACTACCCGCTTACTAAATAGCATGGATAATTACCATCTGGGCAATACCGCGGTTTGTGAGGATATAGCGGGCATGAATAAGTCCATAGAGCATTTCAGCTGCCTGTTCAATCAAGTCACTCTGGTTAGGATTGTCCTCCAGCTCTTCATCTGCAAGAGAAAGGGAAGGAAGTGCTCTGCTGTAATGCACTGTGACATTGACAAAGAGGAAGAAAGTTGTACTCTCCTGGGAAGCACTAACTGATTCTACATGGTTATCTCACTTTGTTCATTTATTTATCCAGTATTTTCTTAACCATCTTGTCTTTCACTACTCCTGCCACGCTAAATTGTAATCCAATTTAATACAACTGGTAAAATATTTTGACAGGTTTACTTTAACAAATTAAGATCAGAAACTTTTAAATTACTGTTATCTATTTCTCAAACATGATAGCTGTCTATGTCATTTCTCAGATGTTTCAAATCAATGTATTTTTAAATGTATATTTCTCCTACTCTTTCTACAGTATATTGTTAGTTATTCTTAGCAAGCCTTAGAATTTTTATCTTTATACATATTAACATCAGAGAGAGGGTGAACTGGTTTACTGGTTAAAGGCACCAGGCTAAAAACCAGGGGACTGTGAGTTCTAGTGTTGCCTTAGATACAAAAAGTGTTTGGGGACTTAGGGCCAGGCCCTTTCTCTTAACCCTAAAAAGAAGGCAATGGCAAACCAACACCAGAAACATTGCCAAGTAAACTGTCAGAATTTGCCCGTGTAATTGCCAAGAATCAAGACTAACTTGAAGGCACAAAACAGAGAGGAAAACAAGAGACAGTATTTGACATTTTTAGTGCCCTGCAGAATGTTAATAGAAAACGGGAAAATTAAATAATTAAAAATCCTGCTTTTGGGTGCTGAAGCAGGATTCATTTCAGATTACCAGGTCCTTAGAGTATTAACATTTATGAAGACAGTTGAACACAGGGTGATTCATAATAGCATACTGTATAACCCGGGGCTTCTATTCTTATGACATGAAATAGGAAAAAGTATGCAAAGTGTGGTTCCTGGAATTCTTTCCAAACTCTTTACTAGCTGTTGCCATAGACCAAACATGTCAAACACAAGGCCAGGGGGCCGGATGCGGCCTGCGAAGTAGTTTCATGTAGCCCGCAAAGCCATCCTGGAAACAGTGAGAGAACGGCCCCCGCTACCTTGGCCCTGGCTGTGTTTCTTGTCTGTTTTTCTTTCTCCTTCATATCAAATATTTTCCCACCACTCTGTACTTAGGAAGGAAGAAAGGAAAGAAGGAAAGGAGAGGGAGGGTCTGAGGAAAGTCCTGCCTTAGTCCGGTCCTGCTGCCCTTTCACCATCCCCTTGCCCCTTCCTCCTGGCCTATCTTGGGGTCTCCCATCCTATGGCTAAGGAAGCTTTGGATACAAAGCCGGGTCTCCTCCCATGGAGATGGAATGGGCCTCCCTCTGACTTTGCCCTGGTACCCATCATGAGCAACCTGGCTAAGGAGAGCAAGCACAGCAGCAGCAGCCGCCTTGAGGAGTAGGTAAGTGCAGCTGTGCGCCTCCTGGGGAAGTGGGGCTGGGCTTGGTGCCGCAGGTGCTCGAGGGCCAGGCTGGGCATTTGACCTCTGATGCCCAGGGCTCCGGGCAGCCCGCACCACCATCCAGACCCCTCCCCCCCGTGGCCTGAGAGGAACGGTGAGGCTCCTCAAGTGGACCACGCCTTGGCACTTGCCCTGGTCCCACCTCCTTCTGCCAGAGACCCTCAGATCTGTCCCACTCCTGCCCAGGCCCCCTTGACGCGAACAATGTAGAGCTGGTCATGCCCACCCAGTAGGCCACACCCACTCCATCCACGCCCACCCAGTAGGCCGCCCCCCTCCGGCCACACCACCGTCCCTCCCCGAGGGCAACCGCAATGCTGATGCGGCCCTCAATGAAATTGAGTTTGACACCCCTGCCATAGATGGAGTCTGTATTTTTTTCTGTTAGGAAGTAATTTGTGATTGCAGTTTTCTGCTTTCTCTGCCTACTGCCTCTGTGCATGTCCATTGTGACATGGCGGCCCAGGCTACAAATGCTCTGTTGTCAGTCACGTGACTGGGAGGAAGAAAAGATGGAGGCCTAGAAGGGAGCAGTCAACAGCATTCCATGCTGCTGCCCAACTACATCTTCCAAAATTGGAGGAATACTTTCCTCCAAAACCTTACATTGGATCCAGCCCATTTTCAATCTCCTTTTGTTGGCTTTCTGCCCTGGACCCCATACACCAAATATGGACCCATTCTATTTTGTTTTTAGAGAGTGATTCTGGTGATAAATTGTCAAACAAGAGAGAATTCCATCTGTTGTACAGGTAGTCCTCAACCTACAACTATTTGTTTAGTGACTGTTCAAAATTACAACGGCACTGAAAAAAGTGACATATAACCAGTTTTCACACTCATGACTGCTGTAGCATCCCCATGGTCAAGTGATCAAAATTCAGGTGACTGGCAATTGGCATGTATTTACGACAGTTGCACACGTAATTACTATTTGTAACCTTCCCAGCTGGCTTCCAACTAGGAAAGCCAATGGGGGAAGCCAGATTTGCTTAATGACCGCGTGATTTGCTTAACTAGAACAACTGTGGCAAAAAGGTTGTAAAATGGGCACAACCCATTTAACTGCCTTGCTTATCAATGGAAATTTTGGACTCACTTGTGGTAAGTCTGTTTTGAAAAACTGGAAAGAAGAAAAAAGATGCCTGAAGATTATGAATCCCAACATTTTCTACCTTGGTTAGTAAAAGCTTCCCATTTGATCAACCTGTAGCAAGTCATGTTTGTGATCCTGGCTATATATCTATGAAAAGTTCCCAGTGGCATATCCAATGGGCCCTGATTAGTTTCCCCAAAATGTCTTCTGAATAATGGCTATTATATTCCTGCCAAGTGCACATTGCCAGCATGCATACCAACATCGAGGCACAGCAAGGTCAAGAGGTTACAGCCCACTAATCATATTTTCAAAAGTCCCTGTAATGTCAAGTAACCCCTCATACAAACAGATTTAGATCGTTTCCCACCTGGTTCCAAATCGAGGATCATATCCAAAGCCTGGCGATAATGAGGAACTTGTTCATTGAGGCCAGTTAAATTGAACTTGTCTTGGATGTAGTCTTCATCCACCTGAAAACAAATAGAAACCAGGATCAATTGACCTTGACTTCTCAAGTGCCTATACTTTACTTTCTCAAGGTACATTACGACCCAAGTAACACATTTCTGAAATTGCCTGCAGCTCCTATTTATTTAAAATCTTCTATCGCAGTGGTTCTCAACCTTTCTAATGCCGCAACCCCATAATACAGTTCCCCATGTTGTGGTGACCCCCGACCACTTATACATCACTGGGTGCCAGGGGCGTGGCCAAAGAAAAGGGGGAAAAAATGGCGGACAGCCTTGTTTGGCGACCCCCATGAAATGGTCGTTCGACCCCAAATGGGGTCCTGACCCACAGGTTGAGAACCACTGTTCTATCGTCTCTCTCAATATGATGTTCAAATCAAATCTTTTCTTAAAAGAGACCCTCCTAATTTCCAGCCCCCACTGAAAACGTCTGCATAAACATTTAGTGGACAAGGCTTCCCAACTCACCTCACAGAAGAACTCATTGCCTCGCAAACCACAAAACCAGGAAATCCAAGATACCTCCTCAGAGCTACTCATCTTCCCGTCCTCTAGAGAAAGAGAGGAACAGAAACATCGTCAGTGTTAACAGTGATGGCTCACCAAAAAACATTCTTTGTGGAAAAACTCTCTACACAAAACAATCTACAGACATAAAATTTTCAGCTCACGTTCCCCAACCCTACTTTACGCTGGCCGATAAACTACCGTCTTGCATCTGTGCATGGGAACCAATGCTACATAAGAATCCCATAAGCTGTTTCTTTGCAAATAGATACCCACTTCCGACTTACCACTTAAAAAATGCTTTTTTTTTTCTTCACAGCAGTAATATCTCCCTTACCGCACCATTTTGCAAGAAACATGCAATCGACACTCTTCCTTCCTTCTTCTTCTTTTTTTTTTTTAAACGCCCGGCACACATTTTCACTGCCACCCTCGCCTCCACCTCCGCTCTTCCCCGAATATTCACTGGAGAGCTCCATTACCTGACCATTCCTTCCCATTATGTTTTTGGCCAATAACTCTCTAAATCTACAGCCCAATAACTCACCCCAAAAGGCACAACTGCCTCAAGGAGAGGGACGCGGAGCACAATCAAGCCTTGGACCGCTAAGGCCTCTGTCAGCTTCAACGGCGCACGCGCTACATTCGCCGATGAAACGGCATCACGGGATTGCAGTACTTCAGAATAAGGAGAAAATGGACAAGCAGGAAACGGGAAACTACTAGTCCCAGAGTGCAACAGAGAAGGAAATGGACGATGCGGGGGGGGGGGGAGAGCTAGTCCTAACTTCCTTTCAATCGCAGCTGTTTTCAGAAGAACCATTTGTAAAGCAAGTAGCTTTCCCAAAAATCGCTCGGCGCGACGAACTGAATGCAGGACAAATAATGCTATATTTTTAAGGGACAACGAACACCAGGACTTGCAGAAAAATAATGAATATTTGATCGAAGCTCCCTTGGGAAGGTAAGTATGCCTCTTTCTCTTCCTGTTTCAGGAATCGTGATCAGATTAACACGGGAAGAGGGGATGGCTTAGATCTTCAGGCTGGATTATCACTCACGAGCAAGGAAGCGATTCGAATTGGACATCGGTTCGAAAGTACAATTCAGTGTATTTTTTCAACCCTTTTACAAATAGTAGGGCGAAAGGGCGCCAGAAGTACAGAGGCTTTGCCGTTTCCTTTCTTGCCAACAGTTTTTTTCCCCCTGATCCCTTTTCTTGCTGATGCACACGGACGTAAACAGAATGTTTCATTTTAGTGTCTTCCCTGTCATTGCTTAAGGCTGGTAGTTGTGTGTGTTTTGGGTTTCTTTCCCTAATTCTTGATCTTTGGCAGTCCCTTTTCACATTCCTCCTTAATAACTTTGATTTCATTCCTCGGTTCTTTTAGTTCCCTATCAGTAGGCTCAGGACCTCAAAATGATTCCTGATGTTCTTCTTGAAAATGGTAGCCGTATGCTCAAGATCATGGAAACTTGGCTTTCTTCTGCTGATTCAGCTTCACTTGGTACTTGCATAGGAGCAGTTCATGACCTGTTTCACAGTCACCCCTGGCCAAGTCTTCGGTGTTAGAACGGAGCCCTTGTATACTGTAATAATAGAGTCAATCTGTTTCAGGTAATCCTTGACTTAATGACCACAATTGAGTCCAGAAATTCCGTTGCTAAGTAAGACATTAAGAAATATTGTCTCATTTTACAATCTTTCTTGACACAGTTGCTAAGTGAATCATTGCAGCTGTTAAGATGGTCACACAGTTGTTACGAGAATCTGGCTTGCCCATTGACTTTGCTTGTCGGGTTGCAAAAAGGGATCCTGGCTGGGAATATTGCAATTGTCATAAAGATGAGTTAGTTGCCAGGCATCTGAATTTTGATCATGTGATCATGGGGATGTAGCAGTGGTCACAAGTGTGAAAACTGGTCATGTGACTTTTTCCAGTGCTGTTGTAACTTTGGTCATTAAATGAATGGTTGAAGGTCAAGGACTATCTGTGTCCCATTTGGTGATTTTCATGTACAGAGATGTTATTTTGGTTGCCACTAAATAGTTCATCTGCCTTACAGGATCTCCTTATATCACTTCTTTTGAATATAAGTGCCTGGCTGCTTTAACTGGTCAACAGGGATCAGCTTGACACTGCTGGTAATCCTGCTGGGATGTTATATTCTGGCTTAGGCTCCTGGCACTCTTCGCTCAACTCTCCCAGCCTCACCTCACTATCTTGATGCAGTATAGCAGGACTTGTGGGGTGATGGGTGCACAATGGTAGCCAAATACAATTGAATACTCCTCCCACTACCCACCATATTACACAATGGACCAAAAAAGGGGGTACCTTATAATACTTTGGTGTTATATCAAGATTAGTGAAAGCAGTAAATAGCACTGGATGTGGGATACAGGTAAACCACGACTTACGACTACAATTAAGTCTAACATTTCTGTTGATAAGTGAAACAGTTAAGTGAGATCTGCCCCATTTTACCCCCTTTCTTGCCACAGTTGTTAAGTGAATCACTGCAGTTCTTAAATTAGTAACAAGGTTGTTAAGTGAATCTGGCTTCCCAATTAATTTTGTCAGAAAGTCACAAAAGGGAATTGCATGACCCTGAGACACTGCAACTGTCTTAAATATGAACCTGTTGCCAAGTGTCTGAATTTTGGTCACGTGACCGTGGGGATAATGCCAACAGCTGTGAGTGTGAAAAATGACCATAAGTCACATTTTTAGTGCTGTTGTGACTAAATGACTAAATGAAAAGTTGTAAATCGGAGACTACCTGTATTGCCTAGTTCCAAAAATGTGACAGAAAAAATGGAATGAGATAGAGATGCAAGACAGGATGTGCTGTTTTCAAAATAGTTAGCTTTTGAAGAATTAACACTATTTTACAAAGCAAAATCAAATATTGCAGTGCTAGTTCCCCTTGCAGCTTATTTTCACTTCTTTGCCCATTCCTTCTTCATCATGATTCTATCATCAACGTTATATCTATGTGGACCAAAACAGAAATGGTCCATAAAAAGATATCATGCTTGAATGAGTAGTCCTTTAATTATGGGGCGCCTTGAATTAAATCCAAAGCTCCCTCCCCTACAGTGCAAATTAAGCAAATCATGAATCTGAGCTTGTTTTTTTTGTGCAGGCATATCATTATCCAAACTAGGTAACATCATCAGTGCTGGTAAGGAGTGCAGATTACTGTTATTTAAATTCTAGAATATAATATAATGTAAATCAGGGGTGTCAAACTCACCATATCACGCAACATGTCGTGATATATCGTGACTTTTTTCCCCTTGCCGAAGTTGGGGTGGGCGCAGCTTCTGCATGACGCATCCGGTCCGCGGGCCAGAAGTTTGACACCCCTGATGTAAACAGATAGCCAACTGACTAGCCCTGATGAAGTTACCTAGTTTAGGTAATGAAATGTCTGCAAGAAAACAAGCTCAGAGAGCACCAAGGACCCCTCATTTCAACCCTGAGCTACAAATATTCTCCTTTATTGAAATCACAAACCATTATTATTAGAATACAGTAGCTAAGAGGGATAACAAAAATCAGAGTTGTCCCACTTTTAATCCAAAGACTATATAGGAAGGAAGCAAATCCATTTCCCCCAAATCAGTGCTGACTTCCCTTCCCCAATAAGTTACCATCACGGATGCTGGTGCTGCTTCGCCGGCTCATCCTATCTGCAGTAGTAGTTCTCAAAATGGCTGTCATGTTTTCGGTATTAATTAGCCATGCCTGTTTGATGGAAAATCGGGAAAAAGATCTATCATCAATATGTACAGTAAGGTACAATTATCACATATAAGTAATGTTTGGGACATTTTTAACCACCAACTGCTGAGATGGATTCTAGACGTGCAAGCTTATATTGCACGTTGCTTGGACGTCTCATCCTGAAAATCAGGCAATTAAAAATTGTAGTACTCTGCTCAAAATTTTAGTTTTTGAGAGGGTTTTTTTTTAAAATTAAAGATTCAAAAAATTAGTAATCAATTGTGGCTTGTGGCTACAGTGGCCATATGTCTTTTATTATTATATAGAACAACCCTTTATTTCCTCTGGAGCACTGGGGAAGTACCTGAGGATTGGAAAAGGGCTGATGTGGTTCCCATCTTCAAGAAAGGGAAAAAAACAGACCCAGAAAACTACAGACCAATCAATCTAACATCAATACCTGGGAAGATCCTGGAAAAGATAATCAAAAAACAGACTTGCGAACAACTAGAAGCAAACAAAGTTATAACTAGTAGCCAGCATGGGTTTGTTAACAGCGGATCATGTCAAACCAATCTTATCTCATTCTTTGATAAAGTGACTAAATTAGTAGACCAGCGAAATGCTGTGGACAATAGAACACTTAGATTTCAGTAAGGCATTCGACAAAGTAGAGCATAACCTGCTGCTTAGTAAGCTAGAAAAAGGTGAGCTAGAGAACATCATCACCAGATAGATGTGTAGCTGGCTGACAAACTGTATTCAACGAGTACTCCTCAATAGTACTACATCCACATGAAGAGAAGTAAGCAGTGGGGTACCACAAGGCTCCGTCTTAGGCCCAGTACTATAAAACCCCAGTTCACCATACTACAAAAAAATGTTGAGACCTTGGAAAAAGTTCAGAGAAGAGCAACTAAAATGATCAAAGGCCTGGAGACTAAAACATATGAAGAACAACTGCAAGACTTGGATTTGGCTAGTCTAAAGAAAAGAAGAAACGGGTGACATGATAGCAGTCTTCCAGTATTTGAGGGGCTGCCATAAAGAAGAGGGCATCAAACTATTCTCCAAAGCACCAGAGGGCAGGACAAGAAACAGCGGGTGGAAACTGATCGAAGAGAGAAGCAACCTGGAATTAAGGAGAAACTTCTTAACAGCGAGGACAATTAACCAGTGGAACAGCTTGCCTTTAGAAATTGTGGGCTGGAGGTTTTTAAAAAGAGACTAGACAGTCACTAAGGAGAAACTAAAGAGAAATTTCCTGACAGTTAGAACAATTAACCAGTGGAACAACCTGCCTCCAGAAGCTGTGAATGCTCCAACACTGGAAGTCTTTAAGAAGAGATTGGACAGCCATTTGTCTGAAATGGTATAGGGTTTCCTGCCTGAGCAGGGGGTTGGACTAGATGATCTCCAAGGTCCCTTCCAACTTTATTATTATTATTGCTTGTCTGAGATGGTATAGGTTCTCCTGCTTGAGCAGGGGGGCTGGACTAGAAGACCTTCAAGGTCCCTTCCAGCTCTATTTCAGAAAGATGTCACTTTAATTTATTGTTATTTATTTGGGGGGCTTTTGCTCTTGAATTTTCCTTTGTAAACCAAAGCTATAAACATAAACGTTTTTTAAAATCCTCATGAATCTTTATCAGATTCCCCCCTTTTTCTGTTTTTTTTTCTTTATTTTTTTCCCAGAAAATGTGTTATGAAGCACCTGAGGAGTGATGCAGACGATAATCTTTAAAACATTTGGTAATCTATTCTCTTACAAGTGAAAGGTGGCCCAGGGTCGACTTTTTAGAGTGATTGCTCTCTTAAAATCTCAATTAAGAAAAGCGATGCTTGAAAAGAAGGCATAGTATTGGAAAACTGGGCCGAGCAGTACGACTCAGAATAAATAAACCTTCAAAGAATAAAATGAAAAAAGCGGGAAAAAGTAGGCAAAAGTGAGCATGCGCATGAAGAAAAGCACGCGTGATGTCTGCGCATGACTTACAGCATCAACGGCGTCTAAGGATCCGTCAATTCAAGCTCCTTCCCTTGCTATGTGGAAGGCTCCCTTTACATTCGTACTCTTTATACTATTTTGTGCTTTTAATCCACCCACCCCGTTCAAAGAGCGCTGGAGGGCAAGTCGAGCTTCCGTGGAAACTTGAACCTCCGCCGCGCCTGCGTAGCGTTCCTGCCCGTTGCCAGGCGACCGAATCGGGCGCTTCCGTTTGAAAAATCCTCTGAAGGTCGCGTGCTGCTCTGAAGTCTAAACGTGAATTCCGAGAGATAGAAATTTAAAGTGACACGCAAGGGTAAACTTCAGCGTTAAGAGAGACCTTTTTTTTTTCTCCAATAAAATTTGTCAGATCCGCTGTCAGGGATAATGTGGAATTCGTAGGATTCTTCCACTTTTCATAACTGTGGTTAACACTTCCTGCTGTGCAAGAAAAGGGCTGCCATTCCATATTGTAGAAAAGATTACCCATTGTTCTTTTACAATTTAAGGGGGAATTGCAATTATTTTTCTCCGTTTGTATTGTTATAGGCCAGGGCTTCCGGCCTGATCAAGGGATTGGACTAGAAAACCTCAAAGATCCCTTCAACTCTGCTCTTCTAGGTTTGAGTTTCTTAACCTTGACAGCTTTTAAGATATGTCTGGAGAATTCTGAGAGTTGGTCCACCTGTCTTAAAGTTGTTAAGGTTGAGAATGATTGCTCTAGTCTAGGGCAGGGATGTCAACATCACCAATTTTTAAAACCTGTGGATCTCAACTCCCAAAATTCTCCAGCCAGCATGGCTGGCTGGGGAATTCTGGGAATTGAAGTCCACAAATCTTAACATTGCCAAGATTTGACATCCCTTAGGACAGAAGTCCCCAACCTTTTGGGCACCAGGGACCGGTTCCATGGATAGAGATTTTGCCACGGACTGGAGGGTGCGTGGTTTTGTGTGCTGTCTGCATCCTGTGGATGGGGCTTTCCTTTCTTGTGCGGCCCGGTTGCTGGCATGCCACGGCCCGGTACTGGTCCATGGATTAGGGGTTGGGGATTCCTGCCTTTCAACAAAATGGTGCAGTTCAGACACATGATGATTATTAATATTATAGACTCCCATTTGATATTATTAGTTTTAATAATAATATTGAGTCCCATGATTTAAAAGAGAAAAACAGGTCAATAAAAACAAAGTTAGGGATAGCAAAATGATAGACTAGGTTGTTTTCTTTTCTGGGTTTTCTTTACTTACTTCATCCATGTCCAGTCCTCTAGAGTAGTTTGTGGACCCTTTTCTGGATGGCATCTGTTTGGAGTCCCAAAAAGGATCAAAGAAATTAAATGTACTGACTATAACTATGCCTATGCAGTACCTCTAGAAATGTTCGGTTTGAATTCTCACTGAATCCAGCTAACCACAATAGCTAGAGTCTTACTTTTAGTTAGAGAAAGAAAGAACAATCTTCATGTGCTTCTGTGCTTGATGCCACATTCTGCACTACTGCAAAACGTAAGGATTATGCATGTTTGTAGTAAATAATTGATCTTTTTATGTAAATACTTCGTTTTTTTTCTTTCAACAGTTTGTGTAGTTACAGCTTTTCAGCCAGAACAATTCTGCGTCAGTATGAACCATGGTGAACAACTGATCACCTTCACTCGTGCCCAAGAGGAGTCAGATCGTTGGAGAGATGGACACATTCAGAAAAAAAACAGAAGTTCTTGCTTCACCAACCAGGAAGAAGAGAATGCAGCTGGTGAAGCCGTGCGTAACTTTTATGAGAGCCTGGCACTTACAAGTAGTTCTAAAAGAGTGTTACAGAGGAAACCAACTGTAACTTATGTGCTCCATCGGCCAGCGCAGGTGTCTCCTTGCATCCCAAACTGCCCAGGACAAACCGACACCCACAAAGGGAATCAGCTCTTGAAAGCTGCTCAAGATGGCAACATGAAGTCTCTCCAGAGGCTTGTGGAGAAAGAAGGGTGTGATGTGAATTATAAAGATGGGTTTTATTGGACAGCTATCATGTGTGCAGCCTATGCTGGACAAGGGGAAGCGGTACATTATCTTTTGAATCGTGAGGCTGCTTGGGTGGGGATTTGTGATTCACAAGGCCGGGATGCTATGGATCTAGCTGAAGAAGCTGGACATGAAGAGGTGATCAGCATCCTTCGGGAGAGCAAAAGGCCTCAAGCGAAGAATGAATCCTCTAGGTGAGTTCTCCTGTTTCTGAGTTCATCCAATTTTCCTCTAGGAGAAAATGCTTTGAGTGGATAGGTTTCTGAATGTTGTTATGCATTATTTCACTGACATAATGTAGGCCAAAAGCAAGTCAAATATCGTCAAAATTTTAAAAGTTTGCCCTAATATTGATTTATAGTTATTGCATTAATGGCTACAGGCTACAAGCCAATACCATTAAATCCATTCTATGCCATGAACAGTTTTTCTGCTCTTCAGGCCTTAATATGTTATGTTGATTTAATGTTTCTTGCTTTATTTATTTGTTTGTTTGTTTATATTTTGTACATTGCCCAGAGTCCTCCGGAGTTGGGTGGCCAAAAAATTTAAATAAAATGAATAAATAAATAAAATATACCACAAGAAAAATGATCAAATACAGTGCAAATAGTTTTAGATAACTCAAATACAGGTAGTCCTTGACTTACAACCACAACTGAGTGCAAAATTTCTGTTGATAAGGGAGAAAGGTGTTAAGTGAATTTTGCATCATTTTCTGACATTTCTTGCCACAGCTGTTAGGTAAATCATTGTAGTTGTTAAATTAATAGCACAGTTGTTAAGTGGAATTTGGCTTCTCCATTGACTTCGCTTGTCAGAAAGTCACAAAAGGTATCACATGACCCCAGGATATTGCAACCATCATAAATATGAGTCAGTTGTCAATTATCTGAATTTTGATCACATGACTCTAGGGATGCTGTAATGGTTGTAAGTAGTGAAAAATGATCATAAGTCACTTTTTTCAGTGTTGTAACTTTGAACAGTCACTAAATGAACTGTTACACGTTGAGGACTACCTGTAACCAGTGTCCAACTGTAGCCAGACCTTTAGAAAATCTGTTTCTTCCATCGCTTCCTTCTGAAACGCTATTCAGTAACATTTACAAGTTTGTAAGTGAAAATCTTAGCACCCTAAATATGTGTAAGGTTGTTCTAAACTGGTTCAGGCTACCGAACCATGAAAACCGATCGCTGAATATTCCAGATATAAATAGATTTTCCAGGGTGGCAGCAGATAGAAGACCTTATGGCCCTCCCTGTAACTGTCAGCTGCATCTACTATATCAATGAAGATTAATTACATTTTTTTATTACTGAACTTGGGGCAGTGTTTGGCTAGATAAAAGTAAGTAGCATTTAATTTCTCCCCTGGAGTAATTCTGAAGGGTGAATCTTATTTTTTTTAATTTTTCCAAACTCTCCCTCATACATATACCATGATATTTAACAGATGTTAACATACATTCTTTTTACATTCACATATAAGATATTTTTAATAAAATGAAATAAATACATACACATAACTTTTGGTGTTGCTCGCCCATTTCCCCTTTCACTGTATCCACACTCTTCTTCTCTACCTTCTTTCTCCTTCTCTTCCCTACTTCCCTCTTCTTCCTCTCCTCTTCTCTTTCCTTCACCATTCTCCTCCCCTTTCTCCCCACTTTTCCTCTTCTCCTCCAACCTTCCTACTCCTTCTCCCCTCCTTTACTCTTTTCTCTCTCCTCTTGAAGGGTGAATCTTATTGTGCTGTATAATTATTACCAATGTAGGATATCAGAGGCCTCTGGACTAAGCAAAGTTAATTTTGAAAAAGATTGCCATGCTCCTCTCACGCTGTTCTTAGATAGAATTTCAGAAAAGAGATGAACTTTTCTCAAGAAAAAAACTACAGCCCTCCTTCGATCCCCCATTACCATCTTTCAGCTTGACTCAGTTTGTGTAAACGCCGGTTTGCCTTGTTTCCAATGATTTCCCTTCTTTCTGCAGTTTACAGTTACCAGTTGAGAGAAGATACTGTGAAGTATGCCAGGCACACTATAGCGAAGACACTGTGGATCTCCACCAGCGTTCCACGGCCCACCTTTTCAATCGACGTGACCCGTTACCCTCCACCCGGTACTGCATCCCTGAGAATAATGTGGGCTTCCAATTGATGGTCAAAGGTGGCTGGGATAAAGAAACTGGACTGGGGCCCAATGGTGCTGGTCGCAAGTTCCCTATTAAGACTGTCCTCAAGAGAGATCAGAAAGGCCTCGGCTTCTGCAGTAACCTTAAACCCAAGGTTACCCACTTCAGACCTAATGACCGTTGTGCTGTAGAGGAACCTGTGAAGCGGCAATCCAGAAAAGAACGAGCAGCAACCGTGGGAAAACGGGAGGCCCGCCGGAGGGAGGCCAAGGCTGCCGCTTGGGAACGCAACCTCCGTACCTACATGAACCTTGATCTTTGAATAGTTTTGGACAAGCGGTGATCGTAATAATCGCATATCCAGCTATGAGTTATACATCATAATAAAGTGTAGCTTAATCATGGTTTATTGAATATATTAACATTGGCTCTGTGTACTGTAACAGTCTTGGCCACTTTGTTATTGAATGTGTAGTGTGACCAGCCACTGAGTCCTTGTTCTCTTTTTAGTCTTATTCAATCTTTCTCAATCGTGGCAACTGTGAGGTTGTGGACTTCAACTCCCAGCATTCCCATGCTGGCTGGGGAATTCTGGGTATTGAAGTCCATGCATCTTAAAATTGCCAAGGTTGAGAAGCACTGGACTAATATGTCGCAGAGAACAGAATGAAACAGGGAAGACATCTATAGGAGAAAGAAAGAAGAAACTACTGGTTCTTTGACTTCATACAGTTTAACATATACTTTACATGCCTTAAAAATGAATAAATAATAAACTTCACAAGCTGAACTATGTTGTGGAATTGGGGAGGAAAATAATGTACAATTGGGAAGAAGTGGGTTGACCTACTGCATGTTATTTCAGCTACTTGGAAATACCTTTTTTAACCTGGAACTCAGGTTATAAACCACTTAGAATTGGAAGAGTAGATAATATATACAATACCGTTCGATAAAATGTGTCCTAGACATCGAAATGTTTTTTACACTGTTTGATAAGACCTTTAAGTTCTATGTATTTCAGACTGTATAAAATAATCTGAATCTGGAAATTTATCATTTCAAACTGAGATGATATTGTTAATTAATATAAATGGCAAAAATAGAGCAGGTAAATGAAAAAATGAAAAAAAAATTCAAGACATGCAAGTGTAGAAAATGGTAAACATGTTCTTGATTGCCAGGAAGGAAAGAATATTCCATTCTAAGGCTATTTGAAAGGATAGAAAAGTAGAGATATAGTGAATTGTGTTGATGTAAAGTAGTTTTAGTTATATTTTCCGTTCTCTTTCTCTTCCCTTTCTTCTTTCAGGCATTTAGTTTCTTTGGTTTACTGTTTCTTATTCCTTTTCTATGTTCTACATCAGTGGTTCTCAACCTGTGGGTCGGGACCCCATTTGGGGTTGAATGACCATTTCACGGGGGTCGCCAAACAACGCAGTCTGCAATTTTTTTCCCCCTTTTCCTTAGCTGTGCTACTCCCTTTTATTCTATTGGCTTTTGAAAGCCAATAGAATAGACTCTCTTGAATAGAGTCTAATTCTATTGGCTTTCAAAAGCCAATAGGAATTGTCCAGGCTGTCTCTGCCCTGCTGAGCCCGACAAAAGTCCCATTCTGCAAATGGTGCTGCACCAGTTGAGTAGTCCTCGACTTACGACCGGTTGAGTAGTCCTCGACTTAGGACCGGTTGGGGGGTCGCGGCATTAAAAAGGTTGAGAACCACTGTTCTACACAATTCTGCCTGTCCCGAAAGGAAATAGTACAATGGGTTTGTGTGTTTGTCTGCCTGAACCACACACACATACAAGAATCTGCTATTTCAAGCAACAATGGCTTAGAAGGTGTCCTCAGTATGAATTCCCATTTCACACTACTCCTAATTTTCACATTTCATTTTGGCAGATATTTATAAGTATATATGTGCTAATCCCAAACTCATCTATTTAGGACTACCATATTTGAGTTAAAAGAAACTTGGGTAGCCAATAAATGGCAGCAGTGAAGTTTTTTTTTTTCCCCTCTCAATTTGCTCCTGCTCAAATTTTGCACTCCGGCTATAGTAGTCTACAGAAAGCTAAGAAAGTGATTCAGGCACACAGGAAGTTTCTAATCCCCATTCCTTTCACCTCACAATATGCCTGCTGGGAACTGGACTTTAGTACATCTGGAGGACATCCGATTCGAGAAAGTGTAGGGTTACAATACTGTCGCTCTTACCTCTCTGCTTCTCCCCCGCCCCCCCCTCTCCGCCAACCGCTTGCTTTGTGTTTCCAGCTCTGGTTTCCTAGTCGGACTCTTAGACGCTGAACACCAAATACGGGCATGATGAAATCATCGCTGATGTTGAGAGAACTTATGGAAGGCACTTCCGCCCTTACTTGCGGCTGTTTTATCCCGTTTGCTTTATAAACGCCGGACGTTTTTTGTGTATAGTGCTGGATACTTGTTAATTTTAATTTATGGAAGAAGGGAGAGTGTATTGAAGAGTTGGTTTACGAAAGAAGGGAGCAAGAATTAAAGGAGAGGGGTGCTCTGGGGTGGGGCGGAAGGAACAGGAAGGGAAAGGGGACGAATTTAGCTGTCCGGGAATCCAATGTGAGAGTGAATAAAGAAAAGGTGAATTTCAACGAACTAAATACAGCACAAATAATGCTGTACTTTTAAGGGACAATTTTAAGGACTTGCAGAAAAATAACATAACATAAATGTTTGATCGAAGCTCCCCTGGGGAGGTAAGTATGCCCCTTTCCCTTTTTTTCGGGAATCGTGATCAGATTAACACGGGAAGAGGGGATGGTTTAGATCTTCAGTCTGAATTATTATTCATGAGCAAGGAAGCAATTCGAATTGGACATCAGTTCAAAAGTACAATTCAGTGTATTTTTTCAACCCTTTTACAAATAGTAGGGCGAAAGGGCAACCAGAAGCACAGAGGTTTTACCGTTTCCCTTACCTACCAACATTCCCCCCCCCCGTCCCTTTTCTCGCTGATGCACATGGACGTAAACTGAATGAAGACCTAGCTATGTTTCATTTTAGTGTCTTCACTGTCATTGCTTAAGGCTGGTAATTGTGTGTGTTTTGGGTTTCTTTCCCTAATTCTTGATCTTTGGCAGTCCCTTTTCACATTCCTCCTTAATAACTTTGATTTCATTCCTCGGTTCTTTTAGTTCCCTATCAGTAGGCTCAGGACCTCAAAATAATTCCTGATGTTCTTCTTGAAAATGGTAGCCGTATGCTCAAGATCATGGAAACTTGGCTTTCTTCTGCTGATTCAGCTTCACTTGGTACTTGCATAGGAGCAGTTCATGACCTGTTTCACAGTCACCCCTGGTCAAGTCTTTGGTGTTAGAACGGAGCCCTTGTATCAATAATAGAGTCAATTCTCTCTCAGTGAGGTTCAGGACCTCATTTTATACTAAGAATGGTAGAATAATAAAGAAGAGTTGAGAGTTCTGCTTCAGAAGCAGAAGAGGGTTGAGTAAAATGGGGAGGAACAGGTGAAGGTGCCTGAAGAATTACAGGCAACTCTCAAAACAGCAGGAGTTAGGATGGTGCTTCTTATAAAGGGCAATGGTCACCCTCTTTGCAGCTGGTCCAGGAAGATCAAAGCTGTTTTGGTTAATTTGGGAGTTCATTAGTTCTAGGTGGGTTTTTTTCCCCACAATCACTCCCTCTCCTTTCTCCCTTATCATTGAGCCCAGAGAAGGGATTTTGGCATTCTGCACGGAGAGATAATGGAGCTGGAGGACTCAACCTAGTGGGTTACAATTGCTGCTTTTCATGACTTGCAGAACTATTTATTGTTATTTTATATTTTTATTACATACACACACACACACATGTTGTACCCAAAATGGGTCCTAGCCTGGTGCCAAAGCCAATAAAGTCCATCAGATATGATGAATGGCATTTCCAGCTTCTTCTGTACTTTTGGAGTACTCCAGCAAAAGGGTCTCAGCAGCTAAAGGAGGCAAGATCTTGAACAATGCACAAGCTCAAATTTTATACAGTTATGATTAAGGAAGCTAACACCCTAAGAATCACTCATTGGTTCCTTGACACATGTTTCTTTTGATCGGGTTCTACTTTACCCTCCTTCTTCATACATGGCACATCTATGTTAATAAGTTTTCTTATCAAAAGAGGTGTGTCTTTTACAATTATATATCTATGTGCCTTAGCTAGCATCCTTCTAGCACGTCCTTCTGACTTGTAACTTTCTTGTTGCTAGGCAGTAGTGTCCCTACCGTTTGGTACACTCATTGCAGCTGCAACTTTCTGCCTCAGTGATTCCTTTAACAAACGTTCCTAATTCCAACCTCAGTCCTTCACACATACACACACATACAGTAACTCAAGAGAGCAGACATATCTAATATTGCTGCCGCTTGTTTTCCCTACAACAATCTTGTAAAAGATGGGTCAGGCTGAGTCAGAGGAATTGATATTATATTTTTCCCCAGCCTTGTTGTTGAGCAGCTCCTTCTGTTGCCCATCAGATTCCATGGCACTGAGGTACCAGCGTCGCTTATGGCGCTACGTGGAACGTGGCCGCCGTCACAAGTTGCGGAGACTCCTGCGGCATCACAGAGAAGTCTTGGACCTGGGCAAAACGAAGGGACACAGAAACCACACACCCCTGCACCGATGCTGTGCCCTCCTGGACCACAAGGCTGCCATCCTTTTACTGAAGTACGGGGCAGACCCCTCTCTCCCAGACCACCGTGGAGACACAGCTCTGCATTTGGCTGCCTGGCATGTAGCACATGGAGGAGACCATGGTGAGACAAAACTTTATAACTTTATTATGCTGCTTAGTTAAAATATAAGGACATCTGCTTCCAAAAAATGGAGATCTCTCATCTATCATATGGAGATAGTAAATAGCAATAGGACAGATTGTTTAATAATAATAACAATAATAATAATAGTTGGAAGGTACCTTAGAGGTCATCTAGTGCTCAGGCAGGAAACTATACCATTTCAGACAAATGGCTGTCCAGTCTTTTCTTAAAACCTTCCAGTGTTGGAGCATTCACAGTCTTTTTTTTTTTTAAATTAGGACAGCTAGAAATTTGCTGGATAACAACTTCAATCTGCTTTAGGCTTCGACACAAATATGGTCCTCTGCTGCTCCTTCAGAGTGTCACAATGTTCCCTGCTTTACAGCTGAACCAAAAGGATTTAATCTACCCTGTAAGACCTGGTCAATCCTTAATAGGATTAGGACTCAACATGGCAGGTCCTCCATAAAAGGGGAATGTTATCCTCTTTGGGATATAGCTGGGGTGCTCCGAAGCAGACTATGTGCCATATTGTGGGACAGTGCCCTCTGAGCACAATAAATAAGTTAATTTATTGTTCCGAGATGCCCCTTGGGTGCAGAGGATTCATGTGGAAATCATTCCTATTTTTTGCTCACTTGGGTGGGAGCAAGGAGGCCCCAATAGAATCAGTGGTAGTAGCTTCATTTGGAGCAAATTCGTTATTTGTCAAAAATACATAGAGGATTGTATTTCATTTAGTACCTCAGACTCAAAGTACATGGCGCTTCTACACATTTTTCCCAACAACAATCTTTTATTGGGCCTCCTCGTGGTCCAAATTCCAGTCCCTCTTCAGCTGTAGAAACTCATTGGGTGACTGTCAGCTGTCTGATTAACAAACTCAAATCCAAGGAATCTTCAAGGCTTTGAAGTGCCATAAAAGATAGATCTTTTTTGAGTACACATCTCAGAACTGAAGAAGCGAAAACAGCTCCGATTTTCCCATACGAAAATCTGCCTAGTTAACAATAGCTTCCCTTAACCCCCACCCACCGAGTGTTCATGTTGCCCAGTCATATGTCTTTGGTTTATTATGAGAACGGTCCACCTCTCCGTCAGACATCTGCGTTAGTGACTTTGGCATACTTGTAGGTTCCCACGATCCCTGGATGGCTTCTTAGACTCCTGTTTCCTCCCAATGCTTTTCACCCCCTCCCCCGTTTCTGTGGCAAGCTGAGTAGCAATAGAATTTAGCAGGCATCTTAGGAATTCAACTTTGAACAGTGACTTTTACCGTAAATGCCGGCGTACAAGGCAACCTGGCATATAAGACAACCCCCGTCTTTATAGCCGGGCCGCATTCCTAGAACGTCGTCTTATACGCCGGAAACTACCAGTATTTCCGGCGTATAAGACGACTTGGCGTATAAGACGACCCCCGTCTTTGGCGCCGATTTCAGCGCTCGCGGAAGTCGCCTTATACGCCGGCATTTACGATAGTCTGTCGTGCCCAGCTTAGCCAAACATTCCTTGCAAGGTTGTTATTGGAGTGATAAAAAGTTAAGATAATGTGAGTGGAGACCCCTTATGAGGTGTCTTCAAGTACTAGAGGAAAAGTGAGCTACAGGTAGTCCTTGACTTACGACTATTTGTTTAGTGACTATTTAAAGTTATCACAGCACTGGAAAAAGTGATTTATGACCAGTCCTCACATTTATGACTGTTACAGGGTCCATACAGTTACATGATTGCCATTTAGGCACTTGGCAACCAGCATGTATTTATGGCATTTGCAGAATCCTTGGGTCATGTGATCATCACTTGTAACCTTCCCAGGATCCTTCCAATAAGTAAATTTAACAGGGGAAGCTGGATTTGCTTAACAACCACAATGATTTACTTAGCAACTGTTTCAAAAGTCATGCGTGACTCATTTAATGATGGAATCGCTTAGCGAAGAAAGTTCTGGTCCCAACTGTGGATGTAAGCTGAGGGCTATCCATATAAGTCTAGCAAATACAATAAAATAGGAACACAATCATAGAAATCTTTACAAGATTAGGAGCCAAAACATACAGTAGCTCTAGATATTCCATCAGTTTTCAAGGGTATTTTTCCCTAGTTCCTATTATTCAGTATTTTTCTTCTTCCCCCAAAAAAGTTGAAGTGTAGGAAAAGATTCAGAGAGGAACAGAAATTCTGGTAATGTTTTTCTCTTTGTTTATTTCAGATTTTTGGTTCTGTGTCATAGAAACGGATGCTGGTTAATGTGAATTGCTGAGCAAATGTTTCTGACACTTTTAAGATAAACTGCTGTATTATAGTATAAGTTTCATAGACAATAATCCAATTCATCGGATTTATTAAAGAGTATCCAAAGATTATATAATACCCTCTGCATCTAAAGAAGCAATTTGTGGTTTACCAGAGTTATGCTAGTTATGCAGCGTTATACTATTAGTTTTCAAGGGTTTGTGAAGCACTTTGCTTAATAGTCTTAACACATTGGTTTTTATAATCTAGAAATAGAGAAGCCGATTTTTCTACAGTATTCACAGTGGGTGTAGCAACTATGAATATTCAGACACAATTTGCTGCAATTTGCTCAGAAGCCACTAAATGGTGCTAATCATTAAAGTTGTTTTTTTCTTCTCAGTGTATGAAGATCTGTTTGTACCCTTGCGAATCCACTGTCCATCTGCCATGAGCATCAAGAATAAAGCTGGAAAAACCCCAGGAGATCTCTTGAACAGAGCAGCAGAAGAGAAATGGGTATCAGTAATCCACCAGTAACCGTATCAAAGGGAAGAGATTGTTGGAACTGGAAATAAATGAAAGCTTAATGGAGAGTGAGGAGAGAGAGAAGAAAGAGAAAAAGATCTGTATCATTTATTTTGATCATTATTACCTTTATGTTTTGTAATAGTGTTGTTTTTAGGACCATCCCTGTTGTATTACTTTTTTGTGTGTTTCTTATTGGTGAAGAGGGGGGAAAGGGAAGGAGGAAAGGGAAAGAAAGGGAAGGGAAAGGGAGGGGAAAGGAAAAAACAAAAGGAAGGGAGGAAAGGAAAGGAAGAAGGGAAGGATCATCAACTGATTTGGTTTTGTCACCTTTTCTCAGACAAAGAGTGGTATGTTTTAATTCTCCACAGTGTCCCAACGAAACACTTGAGGAAAATGTGGCGGAACATGAGGCTGAGAGAGAGTGGAGATGCAAGCTTCTCAATGAATGGGAGGACGAGTTTCAAGAGACCCCATGGCAGCATGAAGGTGAAGCTAGACTTTCCTTAGAAGTGAAGATCTCACAGTCCATCAGGTGCTCTCCTCTGTGGAGGTCTGAGCCATGATCATGACAGATGAATTCGTAGAGTTGCCACTAAGAAGGGTTAGCTCAGTGGTTAGAATGCAGTATTGCAGGTTAACTCTGCCCAAAGCCAAGAGTTCAATCCTGACCAGCCCAAGGTTGACTCAGCCTTCCATCTTTCCGAGTTTGGTAAAATGAGGACCCAGATGGTTGGGGATAATATGCTGACTCTGTAAACTGCTTAGAGAGGGCTGTAAAGCACTATGAAATAGTATATAAGTCTAAGTGCTATTGCTATTGCTACTGAGACAAGTTTTCAGGCCTCCTAAGACTTTTTTTAAAAATTTAAATAACTCCCTCAATCAGTTTGACCAGAGGTTCTGCCTGGTTTTCATTTTCTGAAGCACCCATTTTGCTATTATTTAAGTAATTTGTAGCATGTAGACTTTGGACACTCACTTGTTCTACTGTCTTAGAAAGTAAGAAAGTTGTGGCATAACTAGATTTGAAAGGGACCTTCATGGAGCAGGGTGCACCCCCTGACTTATTTCCCCGTTCTTTTCTAGAGGATTTCTCTACTGGTCCCAACTCAGAAACGTTCGAGGAATGGGCTGATCGCTTACACCGGGAATACAGGCAAAAACGTAGGCAAGAAGAGGAACGGTGTCACCGAAGGCCCAAAAAAGAAGCTCCAAAATCTTCCATTCAACTCCAGCACCTCCTGGAGCAAGAGCATCTAGAGTACCTAAAACGTGCCCAGGCCAAGGAAGAAGAGGTTCAGTCAGCCAAGAGAAGACGTTACGAGGAAGGCTGCAGCCGAGTCTTCTCCTCAGACAGTTCACGTCCATTGTCTTACAAGGACATTCCCTGGCCGAGTTCGACTGGGACTCCTGAGGAAATGGCCGCAGCAGCCCTTCGCGGTGTAGATCCTTCAGACAAAAGAGCTTATCGGCGCTTCCTCCGGCGTCAGCAGGCTCTGTGGCATCCGGACAAGTTTGCACAACGTTGCGGCACACGCTTGGCTGAACAGGATCGCCGTCGGATCTTGGACACTGTCACAGCATTGTCCCAAGCTTTCAATCGCTTGGCTGAAGCAGCCAAATAAACCTTGCTGCTTGTCTACATCAGTGTTTCTCAACCTCAAGAACTTTAAGATGTGTGGACTTCAACTCCCAGAATTCCCCAGCCAGCGTGCTGGCTGGGGAATTCTGGGAGTTGAAGTTCACACATCTTAAAGAAGTGGCCCCCAACTTTTGGGGCACCAGGGACCGGTTCTGTAGAGAGAGGTTTTCCTGCGGACTGAAGGAGGTGTGGTTTCGTGTGCTGCCTGCATCTCGTGGATGGGGCTTCGCTTATTTGCGTGGACCAGTTTCTGTCTTAAAGTACCTGAAGTCAAGAAACACTGTCTGCAGGTCTGAAATGGGTTAGGGTACTTGAGCAGAGAGAAGATGTCCTCTTTTCTTGCATTGTTTATAAATTATAAAATGTTAACTTTTGAATGTCTTTGATTGGTTTAGGTAGGCTGAGTAACTTTAACAGATTTTTTTTTTAAAAAAAAGCTTCTTTGTTGAAGACAATTGTATGTGAACACACCCTCTATGGTTGAATTTTATATGGAAGCCAATATGGCTTGTTAAAAATCATTTTAAAAATAGGGCAAACATACAGCCAATTCCAGCCTTCTCCACTTGGATAGCTTGGTTTGAACCTCAACCACTGAAAATGTGATGCCCGCTAGCTGTGTTGGCATTTGATCTTGCCAACCACATTTACTGTACCAAGTTCCTTATTTTCCAGAAGGGATCTGAGTTGGAGATCAGCGTTTGAAGCCCAATAGTTTAGCCTCCTCACCCTATGAGAGCCCCAATAGACAGTCCAGACCAGGAAATCAGCACCATGGCTAAAACTTCATTTATTCTGATTGGCTATAGAGGTAGTGCTCAAGTTATGACCATAATGGAGCCTGCCTATCACAGTTGTAACTCATAATGGTTGTAAAATTGGTCGGTGACCAATTTTATGACCTTTTTGTGGCAGTGGTTAAGCAAATCAGTACGATTTTTAAATGAATCTGCAGTTGTTAATTAAACCAATGGTTGGCTATGGATGCGATTTTGCAGAATAACCCAGAAGTAAAATGCCATTTTCAACAAAACCATCGTAGAACACAAACGTGTGATAATGGGACACTGCAAATGGTCATAAACACAGCTCGGTTGCCAAGTGCTCAAGTGACCACAAGTCAGGGAGTGGCGCTTGACTATCAGAACTTTGAATCCAAATCAGGTGGGTCAAACAGTTGCTAAGTGACCTATCGTAAGTTGAGGACTACCTGTAGTAACAGAATCTTATAAGACTGATTGATGTGTGCCTCATCCTTATAATTCAGCAAATTAAGAAGGTGTCTTAGCCATATTATCTGAACAATCTGGATTTTAAAAAAATTCTTCAGACTCTGCATCTTCATTAGAATTAATAGGATAGGGACTGTCTGTGGAGATTCTCAGTTATCCTGGTCATGGTTGTCCTAAAGGTGCTTTTCAAAAAGGCAACTGGACTTTGTTTTTCCTTGAAGATGTTTTACTTTTCATCCAAGAAGCTTCTTCAGTTCTGGTGAGTTCTGAAATGAAGAAGCTTGGATGAAAAGCGAAATGTCTTCAAGGAAAAACAAAGTCCAGTTGCCTTTTGAAAAAGCACCTTTGAGATAGGTTATGGATTATATTAAAGATGACATTGATGGAGCTATCAGGATATGCCTACCACCAGTGAAGCTTCTCTCACATCTTCAGGCTAGGAGTACAGCCTTGTCTTTGAAAGGGACCATGGAGCCCTAGTGGACGATCACTTAAATACAAGCCAGTAGTGTGTGGCAGCTAATAAAAGCTAATAACAATCCTTGTTTGTATATACATGCATAGAATCAAAATCACATGAACTATTAGTACTGCTTCATAAAACATTGGTAAGACCACACCTGGAATATTGCATCTAGTTTTGGTCACCACATTACAAAAAAGACGTTGAGATTTTGGAAAATGTGCAAGGAAGATGATTAAGGGCCTGCAGACTAAAACTGTTGCAGGAACTAGGTATCTCTAGTTTAATTAAAAGAAGGAGAGATTTGAAGGGCTGCCCCAAAAGGGGGTGGGGGTGGGGTCAGCTTATTTTCCAAAGCAGCAGAAAGCAAGGTAAGAAACAATGGAAGGAAACTAATCAAGGAGAGAAGCAACTTGGAATTAAGGAGAAACTTCCTAACAGTGAGAACAATTAACCAATGGAACAGAAGTTGTGGGTGCTTCATCATTGGAGGTTTTTAAGAAGAGAACAAACAGCCACTTGTCTCAAATTGTATAGGGTCTCTTGTTTGAGCAAAGATTAGACTAGAAGACCCCCAACGTCCCTTCCAGCTTTATTCTGATTTGATTCATGAGTAATAATCCAGCCCGAAGATCTAAGCCACCCTGCCCTGGGTTAATGTGATTACGATTCATGAAACCATGATAGCATATATACCTCCCCAAGGGAGTTTCAGTCAAGCATTCATGTTATAGGATCTTCTGCTTGAGCTTGGACTAGAAGACCTCCAAGGTCCCTTCCAGCTCTATTCTGACTGACTGATTGATTGATCCCCAAATCTGCCATGGTTCCTGTTGCCACTGCTATTCACACCACCCACCTGGCCACATGCTCAGATATCACAGATCTGAGGCAAGCTTTTAGTTTGTGCACTGACTCTTATTCTGGATGAGTTTTTTCTGGGTCTGAATTAATGGTGACCTTTCGCAGATTTCAAGAATTACTCAAATCATTAGATTCCCTTGATGCTGTGAATGAGAGTATTTTAACGTTACCCAAAGAGACAAGGATATTTTGCATATCTGAATGTGTGGTAGATTAGGTTATTTTCCCTGAATTTTTACGGCACTCGTATATAGTAGTCAATTTCATTGTGACAAGTTAATGGCATTTAATCATATTTCATGAGTCAGCAAAGAATATTTCCAGATGATGAAAAAGGAAACTGCTTTGAACTGTGCAGTGAAGAGGTCAGACCGTGCCTTCTTAAGAAAATATCCGTGCTCTGGAGAACTCTTATTTCATTGCTGACTTCACAATTTGGACATTTAGTGTATACAGACACAATACAAACAAGTACTATATCTGAAGCTCTGAGAAGGTGTAACCTCTCACCCTAAAACTCAAAAGTCCTCGGTAGATAGAAGGGCAAATAACTCCCAGTATCACGGACGTGTTAGAAGATTGTTCCTGAATGGAAACAGTCCATCGTAAATATCTTTTACTGGGGAATCCTTAAGAAGAGGAAGTCTGGGAACAATTGATTGACAAGAGATGAGACACCCTTTGAAGAATTCCCCAAGAAAATCCAAAAGGGGAAAAGATGATTAAAAACATGTTCTCAGAAGTTCTCTGAAAAACAAATTCAGGAAGAGTTTCTGGTTGTTACTAGTTTGGGGTCATTGTTACTTCTGCTGACTTTAATGAGGGATAGGAAATAGCAATAAAGGAAGCAGGAAATGGATGCGTGTTTTGGTCCAACTTTTGAATAGAATCTAAAAATAGCAGAATTCTGTCCAGGAATCCAGTGATAGAAAAGAACATGGATGGGAAAGGGGGGGGGGAGAGAGAAGAAAGAGTAGGAAAAGAGAATGAAGAACGGTCTGAGAAATAAAGAAAGGGTGCATTTCCAGGAAGAAACTTCCAGATAGCCAACAATGGAAGGAGAGGGAGAGGTCAATTGTAAACACCAGATATTTTTTCCAGTTTCTACACACATAATTTTTTTTCATATAATTCATCAGAATCTACAAGTACAAGATAATCCTCAACTTATGACCACAATTGAGCTCCACATTTCTGTTGCTAAGGGAGACAGTTGTTAAGTGAGTTTTGTCCCATTTTACGACCTTTCCTGCCACAATGGTTAAGTGAATCACTGCAGTTGTTAACGTAGTAACACGGTTGTTAAGTGAATCTGGCTTCCCCATTGACTTTGATTTTTAGAAATTTGCAATGGGACAGTGCAATTGTCATAAACCCATGCCAGTTGCCAAACATCCGAATGTTGATCGCGTGACCATGGGGATGCTGCCATGGTCATTAAAGTGTGAAAAACAGTCATAAGTCACTTTTTTCAATGCCGTTGTAACTTTGAACGGTCACAGAACGAACTGTTGTAAGTCAAGGACTACCTGTACATTAGAAAAAGCCCTTGGATTGCAGCACTCTGTTCCCATATCAGTGGAGGATTTGAAAAGGTGATAGAGTAGATTCACAGGAAAACACATTGATTCTTGATGAAACCAGAATCAGAATTCACTTTGGATTAATTGCAGAGATAATTAGCAGGAGAAACTTTAAGGCTTTTGGGGGAAAAAGAAACAAGCCTTTGAGACTTTTGGTCAGATGGGGGGGGGGTGTCTGTTTGGAGCAGGCTTGACCTCAAAGGTGGCACCACTACAGACTTTCTCCTGTTGTGGGAGTGGTAGAATAATCCCTTTTCATCTATGTTCTAGTTTTGCATGAGGAAGATGCCAAGACACACAGGCATTGTCAGGGCAGCAGAAGTAACACACAGAGGAACACTTCTGCTGCAGGTCCAAGGGAAGAAACCTTTGAGAGGAGGTCACAAACACAAACACAAAAGCAATGGAAATCACCTCCCAACTTTTTAAGAATCTTTTTGCAATCGGGAGATTCCAGATTCCATAATGGACCTCCCTGGCAGTACTTATGACACAGTTCAGCTGCCTCCCCCCTGCCTCAGTCACATGACCACATTTGGCAATTGGCCCACATTTACAGTCTTTCCCCTCATTCTGCAGTCATGTGACCATATTTTACCATGTTTTTGCCAAAACCTAGCATTTATGTCCAGTTTTGGGCAAAACTGGCCCATAGCAAATCAGTGGTTCGCTTAACAATCCTCGTGATCGCTTAACAACCATAGCTGTCACTTAACAGCTGCCACAAAACAAATCATAATATCACGTCAGCCACGAGGATGACCCATTTTATAACCGTTCACCACTTAAAACCGTGATGGGCAGGCTCCATTTTGGTCATAAGACAAGTACCCTATGTAGATGCACGTGAAATATTTCCTTCAGGTTCCATGGGTCTCATTTTGCTGGAATTGATCTACAAGGTTATTCTAGAGTTGGGTAAAATACTGCATCCAGTTTTGGTCACCACGATGTAAAAAAGATGTTGAGACTCTAGAAAGAGTACAGAGAAGAGCAACAAAGATGATTAGGGGACTGGAGGCTAAAGCATATAAGGAATGGCTGCTGGAATTGGGTATGTCTAGTTTAATGAAGAGAAGGACGAGGGGGGACATGATAGCAGTATTCCAATATCTCAGGGCCTGCCACAAAGAAGAGGGAGTCAAGCTATTTTCCAAAGCGCCTGAGGGCAGGATAAGAAGCAACGGATGGAAACTAATCAAGGAGAGAAGCAAACTAGAACTAAGG